TTTCCTTTTTGAGCTGGATTAACTGCCCAGTGTAGGCTGTCAGGACTGTGATTTGCTCTCTTTGGTAACCTTGGAGAATGAAGTAGCGACAGAGAGCGGCTATGAACTTGGCTTCGTGTTCATTTGACCTACTCTTTCCCTCTTCGGTGAAATCCTGAAACGAAGTGAATGAAAGGTGTTCCGTTTACACCAGTGACATAAAAAGGGATAGATGGATGGCCTTCAGAAGCGTGATCAATAAGGGGAAGAAAGTTAGAGGTCACGGTTTGGTCGAAACAGCACCATGGTGTAATATAGCTAGCATAACGACCTTTCCTCCAGCCCTAAGCTTCCCTTGCAACTAGCTTAAGTTTGATCGCCACAATATCGTGTCCAAATTACTGGAGTTTTTGTCAGAGGATAGCCGTCATTGCGATCGGCTGTCTCGTCACTAGCAGATATGAGAGATTCCCGACAATTATTTTTCTGGTTGGAGAATTTTAACATGTGTTTACTGAATAATACCTGTCAACTCTTCTAAATAGGTTGTTCAAGTCACACTGAGTTTGTGAGAGCTAAATGTAAACGGAGTGATTTATAATAACGATACTCCCCTCCACAACTTGTTTGGTTTGCATCACTTAATAAGAAAGAAGGTTCCCTTGTCAACAAATCAAATCTTATATTATATCATTATCGCACTCAAATACATAATCACAACCCTTGTCTACTGTCGTGATTTCCTGCGATCAAGTCACTAGCCTGATATGACCAGGTAAATGGTCAAGTTTACCACGCCTACGGTAAATACCAAATTGTACCTAGTGGTACGTTTCGGCTCGTTTATTGAAGGCATGGATATTTTGGCGCAAATGCCTCTTGCCAAACCACTAACCCTGGCTCCACCAAACTCGCTTGATATGGCGCCGAAGCTCACTAAGGAGTTATGATTAGGTAATACTATCACTTCATAACGATAGCAAATTCCTTGCTGCCTACCTCACTCTCAGCGTGGTCCACAAAGAACATATTACGAGCCACTCCCTTAATGTTCTCAAAA